AGTTGTTTTGCGTGACTTCTTCGCTTCAATTATCAGTACTTGAGAGACGCCGACTAGCTTGATTTGATGCATACATGAATAAGAGAGAAAAAAAGATGCGAAATCACAGCGGGAAAAAAAATTTCCCTTCACCACATAAATAAGTGAAAAATGCACGCTTATAGTTAAAATATATTCCTGCAGGTGCTCCGTGAAGATTTGTTGAAGTATCTGTGGCAATATCTATAAATAAAATTTTTAAAAATAACTCTCATATCTCTAGATAGATAGATTTGACGGTTATGAGGTGTTCCACACCTAAAATTGTAATTAACTATAATTTTAATTAGGTAAAAATGTTATTTTAGAAAATACAATTTAGATGAGAAACATAATTTATGATTTGTTAGAATTCTCCAACTAATTAACCACGTATAAATATACGGAGAGAAAATGATTTTAAGGTCCCTTAAAACTCTAAACTAACCACATATAAAAAACGATGTAGTTTTTTAAATTAAACAATTTAATTTTATATTAGTCTCTGTTTTTATTTCCATTGGTTATTTTGATCAAACTATTTTAAATTAAACAATTTAATTTTATATTAGTCTCTGTTTTTATTTCCATTGGTTATTTTGATCAAACTATGTTCATATACGGTAACAAATTTTTTTTTAGTCTCTGTTTTTATTTCCATTGGTTATTTTGATCAAACTATGTTCATATACGGTAACAAATTTTTTTTCTAGCAATTTTTTTTTTAAATTTCAAGATAACATTTCTTTTTGATTTTTTAAGTTAGTTACAAATCTAACTATTTTCTTCTTGTTTCTACCGATCTTCAATTTCCATATAGATAAAATTTTAAATTTACCTTTTTTGTATAAATAAATTTGTTCAACTTTAAGTGATTAATTAGTTAACGATCTCATATAAAAGAAGTGGGGGAATTTTAGTTTTGGCAAAGAGAGATAGACTGGGAGAAAAACATGGGAAGACAAAAGTATCCTTTCTATTTTTAAGCCTAACTTCTTATTTTGTCAAATTAAAATTAAAAGAAACTACTATTATTGGAGCACCAAAGCAAACGTCAAAATATATTAACAAATAAATATAAAGCTAAGAAAACAATGTTTGCCGGCCCCTACAAAATTAAGAAAAATCAATTTACAGATATTTCTCTAATAGAAATTATTTTTGTATTAATTTCGTTTTTTCTATAGAGTGCCCATGGGCACTATATAAGAGAGGAGAGAGATAGAGAGAAATGAACAGCTCATGACCCCCCTGATTTGCATTAATTTCTGTTTATAATTTATTTCTCTCTATCTCTCTCCTCTCTTATAGAGTGCCCATGGTCACTCTATAGAAAAACCGTAATTTTTTTTGAGACTATTTCCCATTAGCACGTGCAAATTAAGTTGTTAGGATACAAGGATGCAATGCTGTTATCCAAGTGCTACTAATTAAGTATAGTCCATCATCAAAAGCTTTTATGAGCGGTACAAGTTTGTTGGCCAAAAACGACGGCACATAATTACTGGTGAGGGGCTACTTAATGCAACTCTACAGTTGGGCAAGCACCCCACGACCTTTGTAATTATGTGAAAATGAGTTATAAGTAACCAACTTTCGCGAATACGCATCCTTAAACTATGTGTATTTGCGAAAACCGCTTCCTAAAACTCAATATTTGCATAACTATTGATATTTGTTGATATTTTAATTTACATTAATTGCAATTACAAGTTAACCCATCAAAGCTGATGATTTGTTGATAATTCCGATGGTGTTTGTTTTTTTTTTCCCAGCGTTGACAAATACGCAGAGTTTAAGGGTGTACATGCATAAACACCTAAAAATAATATGCTTCATTAACCCACCGCATTTTCCAATCCCACATCTCCTATATAAATAGGATATCACTTCCACGTATAACCAAAACAATCCACTTCGCTTCTCAACAGGGCCGGCCCTGAGCAAGGGCCACCAGGGCTACAGCCCGGGGCCCACAGCTCAGGGGGGCACAATTTTTTGTGAATAGACACAGGCTTTGTGTCCTTCTTGACTTCTTTTATAGATTTAAAATAAAGGGCACAATAAAGAACACAATCTAAAAATATCATCAGTGTCTATACACAATAAAGGACACAATCTAAAAATATCATTAGTGTCTATTCAAAATAATGGACACATGCTTTGTGTCCTTCTACGCTTGATTACCGTCCTATTCAAAAAAGTTACAGGCTTTGTATTTATCCAGAATTGCGCTCTTCTACGCTTCATTACCGTCCTATTCAAAATAAAGGACATAATTTTTTACTCCCTTTGTTCAACTTCCAAGATCAAATTACTTTCACCCGCCTCCTCCCCTTAAATCCCCCTTTCTTCAACTTCCAAGATCGGCTTTTTGCAGCCCTACTTACTTCACCCACATCCTCTTTCACCCCCCTTTGTTTAACTTCCAAGATGGTATTCGTGTCCTTCGATCTCAGATCGTCTCTTCGTCTCCGTCGACCGCCACATCTCCTTAAATCGTCTCTTCGTCTCTGTCGGTCTGTCCACCGCCGCAGCCGTCGAATTGTGATTTTCTGCACCAATTACTATTCTTGAGAATCCAAGCGTCGCCTCAGGAAACTAAATCTGAAGAAGATGTTTATATATGGTAATTTCTGTCCATAAAATGCAATGCTTGCTGCATTTGTGCTTTTGTTTCTTTAGATTAATTCCATGTGATTTCAGATGCTCATATTAGATGTTCATTTCGATTTGGGGTTTTGTCCCATTAGGTTTTCCCCAAGGTTTTAATGAGGCCCCAAAGTGTATTTCCTTGTTTTTTGTAAAATCTTATAATTTTAATAAAATTAATTAATTGATAATTTATTTATTTATTTATTTATTTTGTATAAAGGGGCACATTTGAGAAAATTTGCCCGGGGCCTTAGAAAACTCAGGACCGGCTCTGCTTCTCAACGTACACTCGATCGATCTTCTACTTCTCTTGAATTCCAATGTCTTTCTCTCCTCCTTCAACCTCTCACATCCTCATCGCCCTCGGCCTCCTCGTTCTCTTATCGACGACTTCTCCGTGCGCTCGTGCACGTAAAACTCCGGCTGGTTCTGATAAGAAACTGGAGAAAGATTGTGTTGAAGAAGGTACCGTGTTGATCCCTGGAGTGGGCCGTTATGCGCTGGGGAGCCATGAAAGGCCTTCTTTCAGTGGGCTGGATGGTAGCGGCCCAGCTGCGGCTAATGGGCAGTATATCCCCGGGGCCGATGATACTTTTGTTCCGAACCCGGGTTTCGAGGTTCCGAACCCGGCCCATGTTCCTTAATTTAGTGATGGATTGGGGTTGTGGTAGCTAAGCTAATAGGGGGATTAATGCTTGAATAAAGGTGGTAAGTTGCACAAAACTCCTGAAAATTTGAAAATAAGAGAAAATCTATCCGAACTTTCAAAATCCTACTAATTAATTAAACCCCCTTTCAACTATTGGAAAAATCTCATAAATGATGTTAACAGATAGAGAGTAATAAGTTTGAATTATCACAAATCACATAGGAGAACTGGACGAAACTAAGTTCAAGTTTTAGACTATTTACTCCACATGCTAATGTCGTTAATTTATGATGCTTTCCAATAGTTGAGAGGGGTTTAAAACAATGTTGAAAGTTCAGGAGGAATTGCTCTCATTAAGTTCAGGGGAGTAATGCGCGAAGCTCCAAAACATATCAAGGGGTTTTGTGAAATTTACCCTTCATTTGTTATGTGTTGGCCTAAAGTAGGTGTGTGTGTGCTTGTTGTTGTTGTCGTTGTTGTTGTTGTTGTGCTTCTTTTGCTAGTCAATGCATGTTGTTGTTGCGGTCCCATTACATTCACGTCTTACGGAAATACAAATAGTTGCTTTCTACAAGATTAGAGCTTGAAATTCACTATTCTATTACATTTTTACCTCACTCATTTAGCTTTTTTTTTTAATAAATGTCAATTTCAAGCCAGCATGCGTTCAGATTTCAGACTCACCTCATTCAAAAAAAAAAAAAAACAATGAAGAAATCTCATTTGTGATATCCTCAATAAAAAAAAGAAAAAAAAAAGATACTCATTATCGAGAAAATCTTATTTAATTTCTACAAGTAATCGTCATGTGCTAATTGGGTCCTCCCATAGCTTCCAAAATATTATAAAATAGCCTTAATTAAGTTTAGAGGTTATCATAAAATTACATTTTACTTCAATACTTTGTTAGAAATCCCCCTCCTCAAAACAACATTAAATATAAATTTCACAGAATGAATAAAAAATCAGGAAGATATTTATTCCAATAAAATTTATGATTCACGTTCCTAGGTCATTTTCTAAAAAGAAAAAAAGGTCTTAAAATTAAAGGAGGTTTTCTGATGACCCCTAAACTTAGATATTTTGAAAGTTAGTGAGGTTATCTGATAATTTTCAAAAGTTGGGGTTTGTTTCTAATACTTAGCCTTCTTTTGCTAAACCTTAGCTCAGGAGTTGAAAATTTGACAAGCTTTAACTCATTAGTTAATTATTTAATGAATAATTATGATTTATATTTGAGTATAAACTAGGAAGAAGTGGAATTCACGATGACATTGTGAGTGTTTGAGAATTTTAGTCTCCCCGCTTACTACTATCTCCACAACTAGGAAGTCAACCCACAATCAATAAGTTAACAAACTACCGCAATCAAGAAGAAGGAACACCGAAATTTATGTTGTTCGGTCGACCAACTTTGACCTACATCCACAGGGCAACAATACGAGAAATCTGCTATGTATCCGGGAGAACTACTAGAGGAACCACTCAACTCTCGTGTCTCAATCTCTCAACCTCACATAAATAATCAACTCTCGTATTCTCTTCAAAACCCACTCCTTACAATCTTTTAAACGGGCAAAGACTGCGAAACCCTCTCCTAATGTTGTAATCTTTTGCACGGATGAAGACCACGAAACCCTTGCCTCGTGCACGATATTCTTGAATTAGGTTACGCTCTTTGCTAACCCTAGATTATAAGAATATTAACTCTCTCCCTTCTCCTTGGTTTTTCCTCCAACAAATAGAAGAATATATATAGAGAAATCAAAACCCTATCTCTAGCCTAACTTTCTAACTAGAATAGGATTCAAACTCCTAATCATTATGAGACCTAATCACCTAATCATGATAGATCTCTAACTTTATCTAATTCTCATGAAGTTATACAAAAAAGCAAAGACACAATCCCAACAATCTCCACCTTGGATTTGATTCCTAAACTCCCTTGAAGATATATCATCGCCATCTTGAGACTTTACCTCTCCCACTAGCGTCTTCTATTCTTTTATACATCAAATCAAAGTACCAGCACTCCTAATCAGAACACTGTACTCCAACCTGGATGCCCTTATGACTCTCACTTTTATCTGCCTCGCTGTGGTGCCTCGACCACTCTTGTCGTTCTTGTGCTCCACCTACATCGCTCTTCTCAACCTATATCGTTGCACCTTTCCTACTCCACACTATGAGCCGGATGCCTTCATCTCCTCCATTGCTTGGCTTGAATCGAATATGAACGCTCATCATCTTCAAGTCCAATATCATCATCTCCATCTCCTTGTATGTCACTCAGTCGGACCTGCTTGCAAGCTCCACCTAATCTAGCATTATCCTCCTCGAGTCTACACACTAACAAACTCCTGCTCCCGCGATGACTCTGAATAATTATATGCTAATAGCTCTACTGCTAGAATCACGTTTGACTCTCTACACCAATGTCATATGTCGCATACTCGTTTGCCCTATCTGCCATCAGATCTGCCTCTTTACCACCATTAAAACTTATCAGCCCTTTCTGACCAATCTGAGCATAATTTAAAAAATCAAACCCCTCCCATTGCGTTCAGAGCACTCCAAATCCTGGGATTCAACTCCCGGATCATTAAAATCCGCCTCCAAACTCTCGATTAGTAGACAAATTAATCTACACTGTCGGATTTGATTTAATAATTTTTAGCCAAACCCTCACCCACGTGAACAGTATTCCCGTCACCATAGTGTTCCCGCCGCTACAGTATCTTCTTTTTTCCCTTCATCTTGATTCTTGTAACATCGCTGATCTTCACTTTTGTATAACGTCTATCTTGCAAACTCGCTTCTGAATCCATCATCATGGTTTTGATACCACTTGTTGGGGAATTTTAGTCTCCCCGCGTACTATGATCTCTGCAAATAGGAAGCCAACCCACAATCAATAAGATAGAAAATAACTGCAATCAAGAAGAAGGAACACCGAGATTTACGTGGTTCGGTCGACCAAATTCGTCTTACATCCACGGGACAACAATACGATAAATCCACTATGTATCACGGAGAACTACAAGAGGAACCACTCAACTCTCGTCTCTCAATCTCTCAACATCATTGTAAAACCCCGTAAAATTTTGAAATATTATTTTAAAATGATAAAATATGAGTTTTATCATGTTTGAAACTATTTTGGGATGAATTAGCATGTT